CCTGAGCCGGTGGGATTTGAACCGCTGAACTGCTGATCTAGCAGTAGCCTGCAGTGCTGCATTTAACCACTGCGCCACCTTGGCTCTATGCCGAACCCACATATTCTTTGCTTCTCCTAGTTTCATCAGATGCCAGATTTCCTCCACAGTACATCAGTAGTAGCCACCCAAGAGCATCTTGGCTTTTGCCAAAGATTTTCCAGACTGGGTATAACATAGCAAGTGCTAAGGGATTGCCCACAATATGTACTCAGCGTGGCCAGCTTGGAAGCCACGGAACACATGCCAGAGAGTTCTCCAAACCACTTGGCTTTAATCAACCCTGCAGACATTCCCACAACATGTCTATTTCTTTCCAGCCATGTACCTCCTCCTTGGTGGCTGCCAAAAGTTCTGCCAAGCAAACACTACAGAGGAGTCATTGCTCGCCTCCTCCCAACTGTTCACCACAATCTGTGGTACCTCTGATGTTCTTCAGGAGTTTTGGCCATCGTTGTAGGGATGAATTGTGTATGTGTCAGCGCCTGGACAACTTTCGGAACCTGCTGAGGAGATTCCAGATTGGATGGCTTGGGGACATGATATGAGTAGTCCTCAAGGATGCTTAACCTGGAACCATTATGGCCACAGTAGTGACCCAAAGCACTTTGAAGCCACCCAAATTCAAGAGCCTCTTGGTGGCACAGTGGCTAGACTGCAGTACTGCAAGCTACTTCTGCTGACTGCCGGCTGCCTGCAATTTGGCAATTCAAATCTCACCAGGCTCAAGGTTGACTCAGCCTCCCATCCTTCTGAGGTGGGTAAAATGAGGACCCATATTGTTGAGGGCAATACGCTGACTATATAAACCGCTTAGAGAGGGCTGCGGTATATAAGTCTTAAGTGCTATTGCTATTGCTAAATTGTTTCGTGTAGGCATCAGTGATATTTTTGTTTCAGTGAAATGAGTGATAGTGTCTCCACAGCTCAGATCCCTTTATTGAAATAAATCTACATGGACAAGTTGTGGCTTATAGGCTACCCAGCATCATCAGAGGTTTACTTTGCAAGCCACAGCAGACGGACATGATTATTTTTTCTTCCTCATGTTGCCGCATCTTTTTCCTTTATCACATTGACTTTGGCATTAAAGGTCAACTCCTACCAGATGCCTTAATATAGCTAACTTAATACAGCCAATGTGAAGGCACTCTATTTGGTCACAAAGCCTTTCCAGATGTCTGGTAAATCTGAGCATCTGCTTCTGCCAGTCTGGCAGGAGATGTTTTGTGATTGTAAAGATTCTCAGGACATCAACTGTCGCATCAAAAATGTCCACTGTAAAATCATGTCCACAGCAATTGGAATAAGAGCGAAGGTGGAAAGAAAGCAGTTGAAGGCCTGTGTTAGTGGGTTAAATGTTTGGTTATGGGCCGTGACTGATGTCCATGTTTATATCTTTAATGCCTTATCAACCAGTTGGCCCCAAATCCCAAGACAAGACAGGTTGTCCTTGCTCTCCATTTTACAAGCTGATCCTGTGAATTCGCCTTCATCAGTAAAACGTGCTATGTAACTTACATAAAAATGTGGTTTTAAAGCACAACTTTTCTCAACTGAAAATCAGCATGGTGGAGGCTCACAGTCTAAAAATAAAAACAGAAGAACGAAACTCAGACGTGATTTCAGTTTTATTGATTTTTAAATGCAGTGATGGTTAATAAAATCAAACTCCAATATGGAACTAAGGATTTCTTCTTTCCATCATATTGAAAAATGAAATTTGGTCACAATTTTGGAAGGATCTGAGTCTTTCTTGGGAGGGAGTGAAGTTTTCTGGCGACCCATGCAGTTCCAGGGCCTTTGGTTTTGAATCTTTTGTTTAAATGTTACATAATGCTACAACTTTAAAAAGTTTTTTTTATTTTTTTACAAATAAAACTAATAGCATTAGTCATAATTATTATTTTCAACCAACTTATATATTTCTAATAGTAATATATATTTATATAAAGTTGCCATTTGTCATTATTCAATTATTCCATATTTTCTCTTATTACTGCTCTGATTTTATTATATAAAAGTGGATACATTAGTATTCCCCTTTTCTCTTATTTCTCTCTCTTATTCTAACTTTTAATCATGTCATCCTTTGTTAAAAGCATTTTCTTTCTATCCTTCCTAATTTCTAATCATGTCACCAACCTACCAAAAAAAAAAAAAAAAAAGGAAAGGAAAGGAAAGAGAGAGGAAAAGAGAAGCAAATCAAAACAACACCAAAAACGTCTATCCATCATCTCTTGCCCACTTCAATACTTTAATTGCTATGGATTTTTTCTTTTCTTTTTGACTTGTCTCCCATATTCCTCTCTAGAGGAATGCTACAACTTTTGTGAAACTAAAAAGCAATTGTTCTCATTAGTGCCTGGATAGGAGACTCCTTATAGAACACTGCATTGCCTTTTGTGTTGAAAAAGGCCCATAGATGGCAATTCTCAAGCAACAACAGGTTCACAGTTGAATTTCATTATTCCTATAACCAAGGGGTATTATTTTCAATACTTTTTAATGCTTGTTTCCTTTGTAGAAACCAGGCAAATGGTGTGCTATGCATGTTCATATTGCTTGGCAGATATACCACCATCAACAGAAAGTCAAGGTGAGCTCTTTTGGGCAAAGAATGATTGATTGATTGATCTCAGACTGTTTATGGGGCTATAACTCAGTGGCAAACCAAGAGTTTTGCATGGAAAAGGCTTTGGGTTTAACCCCTGAAAGTTCTCAAGAAACCTCCAAGAGATCCAGTCAATAGAAGCTCCTCTGTTCCTAATGCTTTGGAAAGCCACTGACATTCAAATGAGGTAATACTGGACCAGCCAACCTGTTTAAGGTATTTCTTCCACTTATACTTGTCAGGTAGAGAACCTGTGGTCCTTCCGTTGACATTGACATTGAAACTATAGTTCTGTCAAGTGCAAAGAATAAGGACCATTCATAAGGATTTACATAGAAGATTTATTCAGGCCTATACATAAGAATCTGGTCAACTAAAGTTCAGCAGTAAATTAGCACCAGATAAGAGTCAACAGAATTCCGGAGGAATTGAACTAGAAGCACTTGCAGGAATGCAAGGACTCTAAACTGATGACACACTTAATTCTGTCCCTCTCCTGCTTTTTTCTTACACATTCAGCATCATCTCAGTGGCCACAGGCTACTCAATGCTCAATTCTATACTATATACCAGGGGTGTCAAACTCAATTTCATTGAGGGCCGCATCAGGGTTGTGTTTGACCTTGGAAGGCATAGCCAGGACGGGCGTGGCCAGCTCAACATCACTCATTGAGGCTCCGTTTTCAGCTGGGACAGCCTCCTCCCGCCCTCTGCCAGCAAACATGGAGCTGGACTACTGCAATGCGCTCTACATGGGGCAGCCCTTGAAGAGTATTCGGAGACTTCAACTCGTCCAGAA